GTGTGTGTGTGTGTGTGTGTGTGTGTGTGTGTGTGTGTGTGTGTGTGTGTGTGTGTGTGTGTGTGTGTGTGTGTGTGTGTGTGTGTGTGTGTTTCAGCAGTGGGAGGTGGAAGTCGTGTCCAGGTTAGACTGGTGTCTGGCGTCTGTGGTACCCTCTGACTTCCTGGAGCCAGTCCTGCACGCTCTCCCCTTTGTTCAGCCCCACCACTTTCCTAACATGCGCAGGCATGTTCACTCCTACATTGCTCTGTCAGTCACTGGTAAGTTCCCTATCGAACACAAGATGCTTTTTTCCCTAATAAAGTACACTAGAAGAGAATATGCATAAGCAGTGGATGCAAGTATTTTACCATATATATATAAATATCTCTGTTCAATTATTTATGTGCCCAATAATAAGGCTATTGTAGCAATAAAACTAGGATTTTATATCCCTTGTCATACAATCAGTGATAAAGAAAATGGAAGTGAGCATTTAATGTAACAGTGAAAGAAAAGTATTTCCACGCTGTGGACAATGGACACAAAGCAGCCATAACTTTGATTACGATGTGTCAGCAGTTCATTTAGGAGACAAAGAGCTGAGTTTGTGTAATCCTGTGTTGTCCGCTGTTAAAGACCAGCGTCCAACTATTCAGCTGGATGATTTCCCACGAATCTCTGTGGTGCTGCCCGAGGCAGCAGGTCACAGGGATACGTTCAGTTTAGTGCTGTTTTAGACTATGATGTTACAGCGCATACAATTAAGACAATTCCTGACTTCTGACAATGTAACTCTTTTAAAAAGTTGTCTGAGCGAGGATTGAATATCTAATGCTTCGTCTCAGTGTATCTCCTGCCTGAAGCAATTAGGATAATCAACCACATTATCAGGTTTTGGAAAATGTCTGCTTTTGTCCATCAGGGTGTGTCTACAATGGTGGCATCTGTTTGAATGTCAACTTCGAGCCTTGCCTATTTAGCACCTGCTGCAATAGTCTACAATACTTCAAGTGAACAACAATTGCCCATCATAATTAATAAATTAAGTATGATTAATTTTAAGGTAAGTTATATCCCTCTCTTTTCCTCAGACGGCAGGTTTTCAGTGTACTCTCCCTCCACTGTTGCATGTGCCTGTGTGAGCATTGCCACACAGAGGCTACAGTTATCGGACTCCTCTGATTCAGTGATGACGTTTTTGGCCAACCTTTTGGTCATTGATCTGGTAAGGGTAACCTTTAACTGACATTTGTCGATAATATTTTTTGGGACTTTGCCCTATTGTCAACATTGTCGGGAATGTTTGTGATCATTTTAGAAAGCACTCTGATAACAGTCTTTGGGAAAAATACAAATAAATGTTTGACATTTGTTTAGAAGAGTCAGTTATCATGTACATGGATTATTAGTCAATATCTATAGAAAGAAAGTCTGTCCATGTCCCACTGAAGAACTTATGCTTGTGTCCCTGACCATGAACAGAGCCCTGTCCTCCTCTGCTATGAGCAACTGGGCATTGTGTTGGAGCTCAGCCTACCCTCTGGTTTCCAGGCAAGTGTTAGCAGATCAGGAGCAAACAGCTCAGAGATCAGCTACACCCCTGCTGTCTTTCAGGATGCTGTATTGACACCAGTGACATCTCCCCAGGAAATCCATCTCAAACACTCCTCCCTGATATGACAGGCTAAAATGAATTATAGATGCAAGTACATGTGCATGTAGAAGAAAGAGCCTAAATATCAAGATAAATGTTTCTAAATGCCATTTCTCTTTTATCATAGTTTTTTCCAAGTTCCTTCTGCGACATGTAGAGCTTTTACAGTTTGAGATTGCTTTTGTTATATCTACTTTTAAAATATATATTTAGCATTAATCTTGATTAATTGAAAATGTAATAAAATCTTCATATCTGGACAGTTCTAATGATTGTGAAAATATGTTTTATGCATGGTTTCAACATATTCAAATCCCTTGTGGCTTTTATCAATATTCGGCAACATAAAAGATGTAATAAAACAATGTCCAGCTTTCAAGTTCACCATTTTTTTTATTGATTTCCTCATCCCAGGCATAACAGCATGGCATATCACACGGTCATATAAACGATAAACCCAGTAACTTTGGCAAACAGGGTTTATTACTGTTAAAGAAAATAATATTAACAGAACCTGCAACTTCTGGGTCAAGGGGGAGAGATAAACAGTAATGAAATGCCCAAACGCACTTTATATATTCTACAAAAAAAGTGAAAGATACCATTTTAGACCCGTCTTCCTCTGTGTCACACTTCAAGAATAAAATATTCAGATTTCTGTTACATAATAGAAATGAATGACAATAACTCCCAGTTGAAATAAGGTATTTGCTAGTTTACGTTTGTATAGGCTTTACATTCCTGATCAGATTCTTATTTTGGCAAAAAATAACCATAAATAACTGAAAATATACACATTTTACCATTCCAGTTCCTTAACAAAAGCATGGCTTTGCAGCATCTGGGTACTGCAACTTATTATACAATAACTTAATACTTCAATTATAGCTGATAAATACATTGTATGCATCAGGTTTCCATGGGGTGATAGAGTGCGGAAATGTTCCAGGCCTGGGTTTATGTTCTAATTTAATCCCAGCAGGCCAATCCAATTAAGCAACTCCAGTTTGCAGCGTGACATGTCATACAGAAAGAAAGAAAACCTTTTTCTCTGATTACCAGGAGGCCATTCATAAAGCAGGAGTTGGAACCAGATAGCAGATAACGTGTCAAACTTAATGATCCTTATCAGCATTTATAAAATCATAATTTTACGATTGTACATTTGGAAACCTAACGCTTTATTAGTTTAAGGATACACTTCTAATCCGGCTTTGTGAAATACTGTACCACCGCTCGTGTCAAGATATTTAAAATTAAAATGCATACACCTGAGCTTCATGACTGATCTTGTACATTCAGTTGAAGAGCTATACATTGTACACAGCCTAGAGGAGAGAGCTGGGGCACCATTTTTAGAATTTCAACTTGTGACCTGCAAAACTTTAAAAAAAAACTTAAGTAAGCCCCACCTTTCCTGTGAAACTGCCATCTGCACACAGAGTGAATGACCTGTGCTGTTGTGCTCAGGAGCAAAAAGCAGGTTCAACTGGTTATGCTCAATATGATTATCATTCAAGTATTATCCAAACTCGAAACAAGTAATTTCAAGAAGAAAAAAAACAATGGAAAAAAAATGCTCTTTGAGAGCTGAAGTCCCTGTTACAAACAAACGTTCCTCTTGGAACTTTTTTTGTTTCTTTGAATAAAGACAAACAAAAAAAGTCCAATGACATAGCAAATTTCATCTTTGGTATCCATGAAATGTCATTTTCCTCATACCCAAAGCTCAGTTAAAGCTGTAAAATACCCATCCTAGCATTAAATCTGGTCATTATTGCTTAAAAAAAATTAAGGTTGTTGTCAGCTGTTAAGTTGTAAACACTTTATCAAACTGTCCTGCAGACAATAAAATACACTTACTCTGTGGCTTAAGCCATATTCAAACAACCGCTGACTGTTAGTGTCAGTTTTTTTGTCAATTGTCACTGAGCAAAGTGTTTAACACACTGTTTCTTTTTGACGTAGTAGACCAGAGTTTTTGACCCACATCAGCTTCTTTCACTAAGGTTCTTTGAAATGGAAATGTTTAACTGCAGCATCATTCTTATAAAATACTGTGCCATCTGGTTATTTATAGCCTGTTTTACTCAAATGACAGGCAACAATCACCATACAATACAATCGGATGTTTAACAAGAAACCTCTTTTTTGGTACTGTGCAAATCCCTGAAGTTAGCTGATCATTATTACTAAAATGTACTAGTGATTTCGCTTAATGCACTTTGGCTTTTGAGTATTCAGTAGTTAGCTGTTAGTCAAAACTTCTGAAAAACAATTCTTTAGTCAGTGTTCTTCAATAATAACTGGACTTCAGCTTGCTGCAGAGCCTCGTGTAACCACGGCCTGCTTGTAAGCCTCTGTAACATTATCGCAGTCTGTGATGGAAAAGGCACTGTCAGCCACTCCAGCCTCGTAGCAGTTCCAGGACCTCAGTGGCCCGGCCCCCAGCATCCTGTCTTCTTTGATATCCAGCAGGTTGTCAGCAGACACACATCCTCTCAAGCTAGGCTTGGCTGGTGTTTCCACTTGTGCTGGATGTCGTACACGATCTGGCAGATCCAGCTGGTCAAAGGACTCAGAAGACAGAATGCTGTCCTCGCTGATGCCGCCACTCGGCCTCGACCTGGCGCCTGTGCACGGTAAAGAAGCTGCCAGCTGGTCCAGAGAGCCAAACTCCTGCAGCCTGCCGGAGGAGAACTTTCCATTGCGCTTCAAAATGCCTTTCTTATGGGTTGGTGCTGAAGGGCACTCTTTAGTTTGTGGTGCCCAGCCAGAATCACTGTTGTCAGGAGAGGAGGAGTAGTACCCGGACTCGTGCTCGGTGGGCTTCTTTAGGATACCTTTGCGGGGCAGCAGTGCAGCCGAAGGAGCATTAGCCGCTGTAGCATCACCCAACATTTTCTGAGGCTCCACTGGACTTACAGCAGGGGCTTCACTCAGGGCCTTCTGTTTCACACTGTTGCGCCTCTTTAAAATACCCTTATAGGGGCGACTGTCTGTGCTTACTTCATGAATGGTCTGGGAGACATTGTTTTCTTTTCGTGACCTTCGCAGAGAGCGCTGCCGGACTACATCCCCTCCTCCGCCCGGCGAGCGGAGCAGGCAGCGCATCTTGGAGCCATTCTCCAGCAAAGGTCTTGATGTACGGCGCAGCCAACTAGCAATGCTAGCCAGCCCAGCAGGGTGTGATGTGGAGGGGGAGGCTGGTGAAGGGGTCTGCTCTAGTGTACTGCTCTTTGTTTCGGCCAGTAATGGCTGCTGGTAGCCCCAGTTAAGCCACCAGTGTCCTGCAATCTCCTCTATTGTGGCCCTGCGCTCAGGATTTACCATTAGCATCCAACGTATAAGCCCACATGCATCTGAGAGGAAGAGCAATAGAGAAAAGAAAACCTGTTAATCTTTCCATTTTAATCCAGACCATGACTAGAATAAAAAGTTGAGATGAAAGACTCACCAGAGGGGTTGGTGGGTTTACGATAGTTTCCAGTGCTGATCTGTTGGACCAATGCCTTGTGGTTATTTCCATCAAATGGCATGGTGCCGTGAACCATCGTGTACAACAGCACACCAAGAGACCAGGTGTCCACCTCCGGCCCACGGTAAGGCCGTCCATTGACGATCTCCGGGGAGGCGTACAGAGGGCTGCCGCAGAAGGTCTGGAGAAACTCATCACGCTGGTAGAGGTTGGACAGGCCAAAGTCTGCAATCTGTGAGAACAAGAAGGAGACATTAACCTGAGAAACATAGTATTTTCATTAGATCAGAGTAGGAAGAAAATGTGGTATTAATAGATTATCAATATTACACCTGATAAAATTGTGTTAATTATCCAGTGGCACGTTAATAATGTATGTTCCTTCTGCTCTTGCTCTACCTCCTTGCCCAAACAACCCACACAAAATGTGTGTAATTAATTTGCCAAAAGGGAGAGAAAAAAAATATATTCTGTCAGATATTATCATATAATTTATGGATATTACACATGTCCTTTATATCTTTAGACAAAGCACCATCTGCTGTCATATATAATCTAAACTAACACAGATGATATAACCTAACGCTGCAGACTTTTATACCCATGAGCCCTGTGTGTGTAAATGTGTAGTTGTGTTGGTTGGAACTTGTCCCATAAACATACCTTCACGTTGCCGTTGCCATCTAGTAAAATATTCTCCAGTTTCAGGTCTCGGTGTACTATTCCATTCTGAGAGGGAGGGGAAATAAAGATATTCGTTTTTTGCATTTTAAATGATAATGTCTCCACCCGGGCCATTATGCACCAGTTTACTGGAAGTGGTCTTTTTCCTATAAAAGGATCAGTCATTACTGGGACAGAACACATTCTTTTCTGAGATTTTTTTCTGGTACATCAGCTGTGCTTCATTGTCCTCCGCTCTGTAGGGGGGCATGCCTTTGACTCGAGCACAGCCTGAACGTGTTGCTCTCGAACATGCAGGTCAACTACTTCTGCTGCTTGTAGCAACGGATACATTATGTTTGAAGCATTTAGTAATTGTTAAGATGCAGTCATAAAGAAACGATTGCGTTACTTTATAATTCATGTCGTTTACCATAATATAACCATTTTTTAAAAGATGGCTATGTTCAATCAATGTATAAAGTAACATGGAAAATTAAATATTTAACGAGACGTCATCAGCACTCAATAAAAGTGCAATGAGACAGATGGTTAGCACAAAATATGACAGGGCAATTCACTCTGTAAATACTGTCTAGCAAACCTGTAGCAGCTCTGCAAAGTGCTGAACTGCTACAATAAAATATAGTGTGCTGTAAAAACCACAACTGATTATGTGTGTGTGTGTAGCCTTTCTGTTCCATCACACCCTCATTAAGAGTGTCAGACCGTGCATGTTGTGTGTGTTGGGCCGGTTGGCCTTTAGCCCTGACGCTAGCTCTCTGCAGACAAACTGTTCATTTCCCCCTGCAGCGTTCTCACAGCCTCCCTGTGCAGATCAGCAGGCGCACACTGAATAATACCCATTATGTAACTTTGGGGGTGCCGCTGCCCTGGAAAAAAACAATGAGCGAAGCAGCTAGTCCTAGTGGGGCTCTGCGTCATCAGCTTTGACGTACTGTAGCAGCCACGCATGAAGGGAACTGAGATAGACACCATACATAGGTAATATACCTACATTTTGTTTTTCAAAACTTGATTCCAATGTCCCATGATTACATCTTCTGTAAAAGAAAACAATGTGCTCTGTATAAAATGATTGGATTATGAGAGACTGCCTACCTGATGGCAGTAGTGCACAGCAGATACAATCTGTCTGAAGAAGCTCCTGGTGTCCCGCTCAGAGATGCTCCTCTTGTCACAGATGTAGTCGTACAGGTCTCCCCGGCTGGCA